GGCATTGGGATTTGGGCAGCCCTGAGGGCTAGCTGCCTGTAACCCCACTCCTTCTGGGAGCGGGGTGCCGGACTTCTCACCACCTTGTCTAGGGACCTGGCGTGGCTGTCTGCTCCTCTGAGTGGTACCCAAATATATCATTAACATCATGTTGACATGCCATTGCATGATTGTGTGATGTTATGAAGACATTCTAATGTGTCAATAAGGTCAAGTTGACATGTAATGCTAGCTGCCTGTAACCCCACTCCTTCTGGGAGCGGGGTGCCGGACTTCTCACCACCTTGTCTAGGGACCTGGCGTGGCTGTCTGCTCCTCTGAGTGGTACCCAAATATATCATTAACATCATGTTGACATGCCATTGCATGATTGTGTGATGTTATGAAGACATTCTAATGTGTCAATAAGGTCAAGTTGACATGTAATGATAACATCACAAGACCTCATGTGTCACTACTGCGATGTCACATAGGATACGATAATATAACCATGACATGTCACTATCTTCATGCTACCATGTCACTTGGCATGGTAACATCACAGTGATATGTCCATATGTCATTGTTATGTTGACATGTCACTAAAGCAACATGCCAGTGTTTCACTAAAGTCATGTTGATAAGTCTCCATGTGGTGCCATAACATTACAGTGATGTGAAGTGTCATGACATGACACTGTGTGATGCATTAATATTACAGTGCCAAACCTATATGTCAGTAATGTCATGATGGCCATATCGCTGCATGGTGCCATAACAGTACAGCCACTTGCCAATGCATCACTCACATCATGCTAGAATGTCACTGTGTGGTGCAATAACATTATAACAACTTCTTTTAAAAAGTGAAGTCAAATCTGAGGAAAATTAAAAGAAAAAAAACTTTGGCACATCAGGTATATAAGTCCAATTAGGCAGACCCAGGGCTGCTAATAAAATGTCCAGGTACCTAGTGATGGTGGGGGAACTGGGCTCCAAGCCAGACCTTCAGTCCTGCCTGACTCATGCCGCCCGGGGCTCTTTTAAATTGCTGGGCCATGGGACAACTGCCCTTTTTGTGCCCCTCTGTCCTCATTGGCGGCCCTGGACACAGGAAGTTTGTTAGTCAATGGGGGCTTTGAACAATCAAGATGCTAAAGGAGCATAAAAGGAAGGCAAAGCCATTGCAGAGAAGCTAAATGGATTCTTTGCATCAGTCTTCACTGCAAAGGATGTGAGAGACTCCCACATCTGAGCCATTCTCTTTTGGAGACATATCTAAAAACCTGTCCCAGACTGAGGTGTCATCAGAGGAGATTTTGGAACAAATTGATAAATTAAACAGTAATAACTCACCAGGACCAAATGGTAATCACACAAGAGTTCTGAAGGAACTCAAATGTGAAATGGCAAACTACTAACTGTATTATGTAACCTATCACTTAAGTGAGCCTCTGTACTAAATGACTGGAGGTTAGCTAATGTAACACTGATGTTTTTAAAAAGGCTCCAGAGGCAATCTTGGCAATTACAGGCTGGAAAGCCTAACTTCAATATCAGACAAATGGGTTGAAACTAGTAGTAAAGAACAGAATTATCAGACGCACACATGGATAACCACAATATGTTGGAGTAGAATCAGAGTGGTGTTTGTAAAGTGAAATCACACCTCATCAATCTTTTAGAATTCTCTGAGGGTGTCAACAGTCATGTGGACATCGGTGATCCAATGGATATAGTGTCCTTGGACTTTCAGAAAGCCTTTGACAGAAAAGCTTTTAAGTAAAGCAATCAGTCATGGGATAAGAAGGAGGGTCCTCTTGTGGATCAGTAACTGGTTAAAAGATAGGAAACAAAGGGTAGGAATGAATGATCAGTTTTCACAATGGAAAAAAGGTAAACAGCCGGGTCCCCAAAGATTTGTATTGCGAATAGTATTGTTCAACATACTTATAAACAATCTGGAAAAGGGGGTAAACTGTGATGTGACAAAGTTTGCTGATGATGCACAGTTACTCAGTATAACTAATCCAGGGCTAACTACAAGAAGTTACAAAGAGATCTTAGAAAAATAGGTGACAAAATAGCAGATGGAATTCAATGTTGATAAATGCACATTAGAAAATGTAATCCCAACTACACATTGCCACACAAGAAAGAGATCTTAAAGTAATCATGGATAGTTCTCTTTAAAATATCCAGTCTGTTTGCAGCAGCTGTCAAAAAAGTTAATAGAATATTAGGAACCATGAAGAAAAAGACAGATAATAAAACAGAAAATGTAATGCCAATATATAAATACATGGTACTCATATAACTTGAATGCTATGTGCAGTTCTGGTCACTCTACCTTAAAGATATATATATATATATATATATGCAGTGCTTTTTTTGTAATGGTACTGCTCGGTACGCAGTACCGGCACCTCCAGTCAGAGCTTACCTGGAAAGAACGGAGAGTACTGCCACCTCTGTAATGAAAATGGCCGACAGTCGGCTGGGTCTTAAAGAATACCAATACCTTCTTTTTTTTCCCAAAAAAGCATTGTATATATGTGAACTAGGAAAACTTCAGAAAAGGGCAACAAAAATGATTAGGGAAAGGGAACAGCTTTCATATAAGGGAACATTAAAATGACTGGGACTGTTTAAACTAGAAAAGAAACAATTGTGGGAGAGGGATATGAAAGAGCTTTGAAACATCATGAGTGGTGTAGAGAAAGTGAATAGGGAGATGTTATTTACTCCTTCACATAACACAAAACCTAGGAGATACCTGATGAGACTAATAGGCAGCAGGTTTAAAATAAACGTTCGGAAGTACTTCTTCATACAACACACAGTCTACCTGTTAAACTTGTTGCCAGGGGATGTTGTGAAGGCCAAAAGTATAGCTGAATTCAAAAAAGAATAAGTTCATGGAGGATAGGTCCGTCAATAGCCATAAGCCAAGACAATCAGAGATGCAACCCCATGCTCTCGGTGTCCCTAAGCCACTGTCAGAATCTGGGATTGGCGAGAGGCGATGGATCATTGATAATGGCTTTGTTTCTGTTCTTTCCCTTGGATGCATCTGACATTGGCCACAGTTGAAAGGCAGGGTGCAGGGCTAGTTGGACCATTGCTAAGTGACCCTGAATAGCCACTCTTACATCCTTATGTTGTGTTCTTATGCCAGTGCTTCACTAATGCCATGTGGATGTGTCATCACATGGCAACAGAACACTACAGCCAGGTGCCAATGCATCATTAACAACTTGCTGACATGTCACCATGTGGTGCTGTACCATTATGGCCAGGCACCAATGTGCTGTTGTCATGCTGACATGCACTATATGTGGCACTGTACTGTTACGACGACATGCCAATGCATCACTGCCACGCTAGCGTGTCACCATGTGGTGCTGTACTGTTAGTGCCATATATCAATGTCATGCTGATGTTTCACTGTGTATCACTGTACTGTAAGAGCCAGGCACCACTGTCACACTGAGATGTCACTGTGTGGCACTGTACTGTTACAGCCACATGTCAATGTCACACAGATGTGTCATTGTGTGGCACCGCATATTAAAACGAGGCACAACTGTCATGCTGATGTGTCACCGTGTGGAGCCGCATCGTTACAGTCATGCACCAATGTCACACTGACCTGTCACTCTGTGGCACTGGACCATTAAAGCCAGGCACCACTGTCACACTAATGTGACACTGTATGGCACTGTACTGTTACGAACACGCACCAATGCTATGCTGATGTGTCACTGTGGCACTGTACCATTATGGCTATGCATCAATGCCACACTGATGTGTCACTGGGTGACGCTGCACCATTATGCCACAGCGGCGAGGAGTCCTGTGGCACCTTATAGACTAACTGAAGTGTAGGAGCGTAAGCTTTCGTGGGCAAAGACCCACTTGGTCAGCGCTTTATGCCACATTATGCCACAGACGCTGACAGCAGCCCTGGCTAGGAGATGGGGAAGCACTAGTTCAGCTGTGGCCAACTCGCAGCTCGCGAACCGCCTGCAGCTCTTCCCCCGCTTAAAGTGTGGCTCGCTAAACCTCCCCTGTGGCTCGCGAAGCTGCCTCTGCGCCCCTAGAAATGGCCCCCTATCCCCTGAGCTCACCGGTGCCGGGAGCTGTCTGTCACGGCGAAGCAAAATGGCGCTGGCCAACAAAAGCTTTAGGTGGCCAAAAAGCCAACCTGAGTTTTTTTTAAAGGGGCAGTGTCCTTTTTTTTTTCTGGACAACTCCCCCTCCCGCCCCCTTTGTGCAATATGCACAACTATTTTGGCTCTTTGCCTGTAACAGGTTGGCCATCCTGTCACTAGTTGATGGCGGGGAGAAGGGACACTGCCAGAATACGCAGCTGCGCAGGGCACCCAAAAATTTGGGGCACCACTGGGTCTTAATGTCCAACCCCCCGCCTCTTCTGTGACTCTGCTTCCTGGAGATAGCCTCTAGTTAACAACGACCGGCCAGGGCTATTAGCAGCCCATGGAGCCTGTGGAGGAGCCATTCACGTGGCAACGAAGCCATTAAATAGGCATGTCCTGTCAGTTTCTGAATGTACCGTGCTAGGGGACAGGACCTGAATTCACGAGGGCTGTGTCTACACTGGCATGAATTTCCAGAACTGCTTAAAACAGAATACTATTCCGTTTTCAGTTTTTCCGGAAAAGGAGCGTCTACATTGGCAGGCTGCTTTTCCGGAAAAGCCCTTTTTCCGGAAAAGCGGCTGTGGCCAATGTAGACGCGCTTTTCCGGAAAAGAGCCCTGAGCGTCATTTTCGCGATCGGGGCTTTTTTCTGGAAAAGACTACTGGGCTGTCTACACTGGCCCTTTTCCGGAACAGTGTTCTGGAGTAAGGACTTATGCCCGAGCGGGAGCAGAATAGTTTTTCCAGAATAGCGGCTGATTTTGTACAGTAGATCGTCGTT